ACTCATGAGAGGCACGTGAAGAAGATAAGTCCTTGAGATCAAGCAGCAATATCTTGATGAATATCTTCTGAACTGATCGAAAAGATTGCATATAGGATAAGGAGTTGAAGTCTCCTTATGAAAAGAGAATTACATCCGGATCAAGAATATGGATTAGGAGTTAGAGTTGTTCTTGGACTCGAATTGTTAAAGGATCCACAATTCGAGTTCTTATCAAACTCTGATTACTAACTCTATAAATATAACGATTGTTCTCTTTTACAGGGAGTTGCACAAAAACGCAGAAGTTAAACGTGAACTGGGAGCAAAATAGCAAGGCTTTTTGCAAGCAGTTCGTGTGTGATACAAGTGTGCAAATCTGAAGCTACAAGAACTAAGTGTGAAGAACCAATTCCATTGTGTCTTTCTTTATTTCTAGTTCAATTGTAGTAGGTGTTTTAACATTGTACCTTTCCAGCTTTCTTAGAAGCAATTGTATTAGGTGTATTGAGTATTCAAGTTAGAGTTAACTTGAAAGTGTCGCAACAGTTGAGGCTGTGTGCCACACTGGATTGGAGTTAATCCTTAGGCTTACAAAGAGTTTTGTAAATGCCGTTTTTGGCTCATTGAAGTTTAGTGGAAGTTTGGGAAAATCCTACTGAGTAGTAGGTCGTGGTTTTTTCACCTTTTGAGCCAGGTGTTTTCCACGTAAAAATCTCTGTGTTCTTTATTTCTGTATTTTAATTCTGCAAACAGTAGAAGTTAGAACACCTAGAAGAACCAGGTTCTTCTAGTGCGAAAATTAGGTACCACACAAATCATCCCTCCCCCCCCCCCCTCTTGTGTGGTATTGACGTCTAAAACATCAGTACCGAGACCCATAAAATATTAACGATGTTCTCATCATCGGGCGTGATAAAGCAACGGTCCCCGGTCCCAAAACGAGCTCTAAGACCTCGCGAAACATGTCAAACGGTTACGCATGGCTAACAGAGGGCCGTGATATCCGTACCTAACCGGATATCACGGAGCAGATCTCGCACGATGTCGGTTACAGATTAGTAATTAACGAGAAAGGAGAATTTTTACTTTTTTTAGACTTGTACTAGGGATGAAACTCCTCTACTATATAAAGAGGGAGTTTTTCTTTGATAACACACATTGTAACTCGCAAATTAAAGTAATACAAATTCATTCTCTGCTTTCTAGCTATTGCAAAATCTCTTTGTTTTGTTCTTTATTAGCAATTGGGTTCGAACCAAGGGACCGATTGAGAGCAAACTACTGTTCAACATAGATTCGGGCTAGGCCATAACATTGCGTCTGGTTTGGTCATTTATTTTGTCTTTAAATCGTTTATCCAATATTCTCGATTATTTGCATTGAATCAGTCCACATATCCTTTAAACCGCATACAAATTTAATTGTTATCCATTTTAAGGGTAAACAATGAGTCTTACCTTCTTTAGTCTATTTAAAAAAAAAAATAGTAATAGCTTTTTATATATAGTAACTCTTAGATTACAGCATTCAAAGAGTATTTTTGGTATGTTACATACTCTTTAGTTTAAGACCACAAAACTCAAATATATTTTTTTACATTCAAAATCTTGCCTAAACAATAATTGTTCACATTTAAGTACTCCATTTATTTGTCTTTCTGATTTTGAATAGCACACCACCTGAAAGCAACATGAGAACTACAGTTTACCCAGGGGAAGGATAATCAACGAAACATCGAGGAGGGAAAAAGATGGAAATTTCTAATATTGAAGTTAACAATTACGCCGAAGGAACAAATAATCAATGAATTTGTATAATCTAATTCACATCTGCCGTTGTACTATCTAAAATTGCACAGTTTTGCTTTCCATTACACTTTTGGTCGACTATTCATACACATCCCATTAGCAAATTATCTCGTATTTGCATGGAGCTTTAGCGTGAAAGGATTTGACACGATGAAAAAAGTCTAAATTTACCCCTCAACTTTTCTCAAGTTGGAGCTCTAGGGTTCAAGGAAAAAACGCGACTTCTTCCTAACTGCAAGGATAATATTAGACAAAAAAAGAAGGACAAAATTACTCAATTTTGAATAGTACATGATAAATTAAACCCTTTTCCATCTAACAAAAATAAAATTAAATAAAATATAATCTACGAACGAGAATATTGCTTTGTCTTTCAACTCCAAAATCCAAATTAAAACTTGGTCTTTCTGATTTAGACAACCACCCTACCTCCTGAAAGCAATATGACAGCTACACGTTACTAGGGAAGCAAGAATATTCAACGAAACTACGAGGAGAAACATTATTAAATTACGCCGAAGGAAAAATATTACGAATAATTTTGTTATACTCTAGATTCTAACTTAGTTTAATTCGCGTTATTTCCAGGTTTTCTGCATGATTCTGTATTATGTTCTTTCCTTTGGTCTAATTAACGTAGAGATTAAGGAAAAGTGTTGTTTCTTTTAGATAGAAGGCAAGATGTCCTCCCAAATATTAAATTTGTAGGCCTAATGCAAAATGCTTTTGTAATTAATTACTGAATGGACGTCGAAGAACCCTAGACATGACATGATGGTATATATAATAACTTCCTTCCCTATCCTTAGCTTTAGTTTTCTTACTGTCATTATTAAACGTTTGATCAGACCTATAGGTCATAGTTCGAGCCCTGGAATAAAGCGGTGACTAATGTTTATATTTGGATCGACTGTCTACATCACATCCTTTGTGGTGCGATCCTTCCCTCGCCGGACCCTGCGTGAACGCAGAATGCCTTATGCATCGGAGTGATTTTTTTATTAGTATCGTCATGAACGTGGACGAATTCAGGCTATCGACAACCGGTAGGATTCCCAATCAATCACCTGAGGAGTGGAATAAAATATTGAGACTTGCCTTCAAGATAGAAAATAACTTTTTTCATTTAAGGCTCATATGGAACGTATGAATTGGCTCTTAGGTAAGAAATGAATAAATAAATAAATACATAAACAAATTAAACAAATAATGACACAGAATAACAAGAACAGGAACGAATACGGCAAGGCTTTTTGGCTGATATGTTTGGCAAAGAAATCAAGCAAAAGGATCAAATCTGAAAGTGTTCCAAGTTCTAACGAATTAATTATTTTAAAAGAATTATTATATTTAGATTGTTTTTAATATTGATCATGAACTTCTTGTAATCTATTATGAGCTTTAACCGGCTATGTTTTGCAGAGTCAAAGAGCCATTGCATAGTCGATGAGTCTATTTTAATTTTTTAAAATTATTTGTAGCATATTTTAATTATCTCCAGTGTAATCAGTACTGATAAGGCAAACAATAAATGGCTGCTTCCATTTTTAATTACACGAACATAATTGGAACTTGTCCTTTGGTCCAATAGTTACCAAGTCCACTTGATTTATTCAAAAATGACAAAAAGGAAATTGAATGGAGCCAGGGTTAGAGGAGAAGATTTAATGTCAGCTATTCATATAATTCATTAAATATAAGCATACTTTCTCTAATAACGTAAATTTCAGATGATATAATCATACACTTCAATGTGACATCAGAATAGGTATGTGAAAATTAATTCTTCGGCACTTCTTCAACTTCATAAAAATGTCCACTTTTTGCAACAAAAAGAAAAAAGAAGATTCAAAATTTTAAAACAAAACCTTTTTCCTAAAAACAACTCCGATCCTGTTTACACAAAAAGATTAGTTGTACAAACAAGTGCCACCTATATCTTTTTAGTTCCATTTCTTGGTCTTCCTGGTTAACAACTTCTTCTGACCACTAAATATTGTGATGAGATGGATATGATCCTGTACTCTTAACTAAAGGTTTTGAGTTCGTTGTAGGAATGGAAAAAATATTGGTAAAAAGCGCTTCCTCCTTAATAAGCATTACGCGATGCGAATTCAGATTAATCAGAGTTCCTACTACGATATCGGACACCAAGCGAAAAATCAAAAAATAAAATAAAAACTCCACATGAAAGCAACATGACAGCTAACCTTACTAGGGAAGAATATTCAATGAAACTACGAGGAGGAAAAGAGGGAGATTTCTAGTCTTGAAGTAACAATTCAGAGAAGAAAACAAAACAATGAATTTCGTTATAATCTAACTTATTCCATTCACTCAAACATGTTTGCTTCATCTACATGGTGTCTTACTTGTAGAATTTAATAAAAGTGCTAGTTCTACGTGAAAGCAACGCTATGTCTCCCGATATTTAAAAGCAGGCCCAACACAGAACTCTTGTGATTATTTTACTAAGTTAATGGTACTAATAACTAAAATCATGTTACAGCCGAAACATGAAAAAAGAAGCCGCGGTCGAAACTAGTTACATTCGATAGTCGTAAAAGTGAATAAAATTTGTATATTTTTTATATATATATTCAAAATATATATATAAAAATACATATTTTTCGATTATTATTTTAAAAGCGGCTATATAATATCATTTTTCCAAAAAAGAAAGTACTTATTAGCTTTTAAATGAGACGATTCACACAATTTAATAAAATACTAAAGCAAGCAAAGGTCCAAAATCTATATATCTCCACCATCAATCAATTTCTCTTTATTCTAGGTTTTCTTTACGCTCCTTATAGTGTAATCCTTAGTCGAGAAAGAAGGGAATCACATCAAAAAATTTATAAACCTATGCCTAATTTCATCGATGAATCATTAAAGAACGTGAATTTAGCGAGACCAATATAATCTTTTTCGACGAATTAAGGCAAAAGCCTAAGCGGTAAAAATCCAAATATCTCATAGATAAAAAACGCGGATTGTCTCAATCCTACCATTGAATTTGAACCATTACTCCTACCGTATGAAGGTGATACTCAGTAGGTCATTTGTCATTCCAAAGAGAACCAAATGAAATGCATCCAAAATATTTCCACGTGAGAGCTTTAAAAATATTATGATTTGTACTACTTGGGACTTTTCTCTAGTTATACATGTGAAGATAGAAGATAAAAATGGAAGACAAGAATAAAATAAAGAAAACAAGAACATCTCTAATTGAAAACATTTTCTTCATTCTTATATGTTAATTTTTTTCAAAAGATAGAAATAGATAACAAAAGGACCTCATTTCTCTTCCCACTTTCCCATATAATTACCACCACAAACAAGCAAAAAGTAGAGAGCATATTTCATCTTAAGCTCCAAAAAACACAAATTCAGAAGCATGCATCATATATATAGTATATGTTAAAAGGTCCAAAATTAAACAGGAACTGTCCTTCCACTATTCTTCATTTCTGTTCCACTTTCCTCTTCTCCTTCATTTTCCCTTGACATTTCTTCCAATGATTTTCCTTTGGATTCTGGCACTAAAAATGTGAACACCATTCCTAAGAAGTTAACACAACCTAAGACAATCAGTGAATTTCTCACACCAATTCCAGCAGGGTAACCGGCATCAGTCTTTTTTGGATCTGTTGGTTGAGCAGCGTACAAGAATCCGAATGCACCAATCATAGCTCCTGCTTTGCCAGCTGCTGCTGATATTCCATGGCATGTTGACCTAAGCCTGGCTGGGAAAATCTCCGCGGGGACAACAAATGTTGTGGCGTTTGGACCAAAATTCGCGAAGAAAAAGGTAAGCGAGTACATGATCACGAACCCGATTCTGTTATCCTTTAGAGTCCAATGATGATAAGGAATGGCTAAGGCAAACATGAACACTGTCATGAAGAAGAATCCCATCAACTGAATTGCAAATCGACCTATTTTGTCGATGAAGAATACTGTGAACCAGTAACCAGGAACAGTACTGCAAAGGGCGATAAGAGTTTGCGCCCTTGCAATTTTGTAAACTTCCTCCAACGCATTCATGGTTTGCGCTGGTGGAATCCATCCAATCGCGCTGAAAATGTCCTTTTGGAAAAGGTTTTGGCTGTAGAATGCAATGTCCAACAAGAACCATGTGCTAGCAGTTCCAAGCAAGTGAAGTCCATGGCGACGGAGGAACTCCTTAGAAAACAAACCAAACTCATTCCCTGTGTTTTGAGAAACATTCTCAACTTTCTCTTGCTCTTCTTCAATATCGACTTGCAACACTTTAGACATGTCGTTTGCTGCCTGTTTTAAGTTCTTCGCCACCAATGCAGTGTAACGAGCAGTTTCAGGCATCTTCATACGCCAGTAATAAGTCATTGCAGCTGGGATTGCACCAAACATAAGAATTATACGCCACACGAAATCAGCCTGAGAGACAGTTGAAGCAAGAGGGCCGTCCTGATATGTTGGTGCAGGGAACGCGCCCTTAAACGCAGCAGAAACAATGATTGCCACCATTCCACCAGCCAAAATTCCAAAACCTTGCATTGCAAAAACAGCAGCAATGAACGCTCCACGCGTCTTTTTATTAGCATACTCAGACATGATAGTAGCAGAAAGAGGATAATCACCACCAATGCCAAAACCTAACCAAAACCTGAAGAAACAAAGTGTAGTCATAACACTTTTTGGTGTATGACCAAAGGAAAGCCCTGAGGCAATTGAACAAATAACCATCATCATAAGGGTCATTCCATAAACTTTTTTTCTCCCCATTTTATCTCCGAGCCACCCGAAAAACAGTTGACCAGCAAGGGTCCCACAGAAGGCGACTCCATTCACAGCAGCCGAAACGTTAGGAGGGAGAGATCCAGGTTTCAATGCCCCGTCGCGGTGGTAGTAAATGCGGCCAAGCAATTTTGTGACCAAAGAAATGCAGAAAAGATCATAAGCATCAGTAAAGAAGCCCATGCCAGCAATAACAATTGCTGTGAAGTGATACAATTGTGTTTTTGCTACATCTAGTGCATTTAGCACTTGCAATTGATCTTTAGCCATGACTATACTTTCTCAACACTTAATTCCTGCAAAAAACAAAACAAGATAGAGTAAATTATAAGGGTTTCACTTACATATATTGACAATGATCTTTTTTTTTAACACTAGAAGTGTATTTTGACCTGTTATATAACAAAGAGTTATTATGTTGAGGTAACTAATCCCAATTTATGAATGGACTACATTACACTGAAGTTAAACTCAAACTATACACTACTGAAAAATCAGGGATTAGCGATGTACAAATTCTGTAGCTAAACAGCAAAGTCCATCGCTAATCCTACTTAGCAACTGATTAGCGATGGATTATGAAAAATTATGTTAGCTATGAGCTATTTAGCAACAGATTAGTGACGAAGTTCCTAGCTAATTGCAGTTTTTTAGTAGTAATAGAACCAAACAAGAAGATAATTTTGGATAGAATTAATCAAAGCTATTATCTGAATAATTAAGTTAAGTAGTTAGTCAAGTAAGGGGAGAATTAAACAAGATATTTATGATGGAATTAATTAAAGCTAATCTGGATAATTAAGTTTGTAATTTGTCCAGTAGGGGGGTAGATATGACTTCTTGGTAAAAGACAAAAGTAGGGGACCCCAAAGTCATTTTCCTGCCTACTTTTCAAAGTTTGTGACTTAAGCTGTGTACTATATGGCTATTTATGTAAAAACAATAAAGAAGCGTTTAACAGTCAAAATTGAAAAAATATGTTAGAAATTACATCAGCTATTTCCAGGTAGGGACCCATAGATTGCTTTAGATTCTGGCTGATGGTTTTTTTTTTTTTTTGTTTCCTACCCGTGTCCGTTATTCACATAGGGGCCGACTAAATCCGGATTCGCGCCGGAAAATCTTACATTTGGGGTAAAGTGCTCCCTAATAAAGGCGACTTCATACCTAGGGGCTCGAACTCGAGACCTCTGGTTAAGAATGAAAGAGTACTTACCACTCCACCACAACCTTTGTCGGTGATTGTGGCTAATGTTATCATCACAAATAATTGGTGAAAAATAAACTTCAGTCAAATTTTACACAATTTATTTATTAAAGTACTAGAGTATAAACAAGTTAAAATATTTTGACATATGAAGTGGTTGATATGTAGTCAAACTAAACTTAAAGTTCCTGCCAAATAGCAATAATTGAGAGAAAATAAGTAATTAAAGTTTTCTCTAATAGTCCATATATAGTATGAAGTCATGCACCTGATACAAAAGTATATTTTATAAAGAGATATTATATTTATTTTTTTTTGAAGTCTTAAAAAGGGGAAGACTTTTCATAAACATAAGAGCAAGGTGCATGTGAACCACAATTCTAGAAGACAAGTTAGTACTTTTCATGAACAGAGATACTAAACAAACCTAAATAATGGACCAGAAAAATGTCTTTTTTGGTACATCAAATTAATAAACCATGTTACATCAAGGTTTTTTGTACAACGGTTGTTGAATAGCTCTATATACAAACAAGAAACACTATAAATATCCTTCTCTAGCAAAACAATTCGGGGAGGAAAAAATAATAAAAAATATATATTTTTAGCCGCTTCCAAAAATAAACAGACAAAATATATATTTTATATATATTATAATATACATATTCTTTTTAATACTTTTTGGCCAGCGTAAGTAGTTTCTGCGGACCGGCCAATTTTGTATTTTGCCTAAAAATAAATTCTTTTTTTTTCAAAATGAAGAGGAAGAGAGACACTTCAATCTCTATGATCCATAAAATCCATTATTAATTTAACCAAAAAACTGATTCACACTTACAAAAAAAATTAAAGGAAACAAATCGTCAGTATAAAATTGAAAGAAATGAAGGAGAAAAGTCTAGAATTTTAGTAAAATCTTTTAAGATTTCATTTAGCTTGATTTTGTAAATCATTAAGCTGCTAAATTCTTTGTCAAAAAATGAATAACATACAAAGGCTATATCAGTATATGGACATGAATATTTATACTAAATTAGACCCCCATTGACCAATTCCTCTTATTTTGTCCCATAAAAATCAACCAAAAACTCAGAATTTTCACTTTCTCCATTAAAACACACATGCATGGGAGTATGAACACTGAACACACACACACACACACAAACAAACAAAAAAGCAAAAAGGGTGTTAAAGGAAAGATTTTTACACTGACCTTAAACGATTTTCTCCACGAGATTTTCAATTTCCACAGAGTGCAACAGAATCAAGAACAGCAGAGAAGCAGAAAGCTAAAAGCTAGGAAATTTCAATGAAGAAAATTTCCTATAAAATTTTACGTTCAAAGGCTTAACAAAAAGCCAAAAATTAAAACTGTGATTTTTTCATTTATTAGCTTCTCTGAATCTGAACTCTCTGAGTAATGAAGAGAAGATGGAGAATTAGTGCCGTATTTAAAGTGCTTTTTGATGCTGGCATCTTCTTAAGGTATATTCCTTCTATCGCCCGCTTTTTAGGGTTGTACACCATTATGATCTTGCCACGTAAGAACTGGGTCCCACAGAATGGTCTTATTTTCTTACGTGGCATGATCAGAGGAGTTCTGAGTTCTGTTCTTAGGTGTAAGTCAACGGAGTCACGTACATCACCCCCACTTACAGAGTGTTGACCACCCTAGTTAATTCTGTGTATTCCCTTATAAAAATGAATTTATTACCCTACTTTGTTCTATCTATTCCCTTAAAAAAAATAAATTAATATTTTTTTAATATTAATCTGGATTTTCATTATCCCCAAACAAAAAAAAAAAACGGTACTGAATTCTAAACTACTGCTATTTTTTGCGGTATTAGTCGCTTTCCAAATTGAATTGTTCCAAGATTTGACGTTTTATAAAAATTTATTATTATCACTTTGAGTTTTTATTAGTTGAGATGTTTAAGAGAATATGAATTATTATTCTTATAATTAAAGTTGTTAAATATCTTTTTGATGTAAGAGAAACTTAAAAGATTACAAGATAATATAGGAACTAAGGTAGTATTGAAAGAGATAATTGTTCCCAATGTTATAATTGACCGGTTGATGCCATATGAATAAAAGGATTTCATATTCTAATTTTGTTAAAATATTCAACGTAAGTTTATCTATTTCATTTTTGATGGATAAGTGTTTTTACGATTGTGCATATCCATTATAACATATTATCCGACAAATTAATCGAGGTGCATGCGAGTTATTTTGGAATCCTACCATCGTAAAAGAGATACAATCGACCTTGAGCTAATCGCTTAAATTTATCTTAAAGGATTACTCTACAAACTAGTGAATTTCTACCCCCTCTCGTAATTTACCACTTCTGCTATTTTGTTTTGCAAAATTAAATTTACTCTTTTAGAATCCAGTTGTTGATATGAAAATATAATATTGTGGATGTTCATTTATTACTCCGCTATAGATAATCTTTCTGAAGAAAATTATCCTTTTAGTACTCTATTGAAGTTTATCTACAAGCAGCTAATGCAGGCAGGTTGCAAGCAACTTAATGAAATGATTTGCAGTAGCTTCTTATTAAACAGGCAGGTAGCGAGCAGCTCATGCGGACAGCTTACAAGCAGCTCAAGAAAAGCCTCGCAGCTGCTTCTTTTCTTCTATAAATAGAGGAGTTTTCAGTTCATTATGTACATCAGTTGGAAGTTGAATAATATATCAATCTCTCTCTATACGTGTCTTTGGTTTATTTGCTTTGCGGTCTTTAGTTTTATATCACGTTATCAGCACGAGACTCTGCCTTGAGCACTTACTTGGAAAGATGTATTATTATAGTTATCCTCGTCCAAAGGCATCGGTTCTCACTGTAAGTAAGATCAACCTGTTGTATTTATGGATTTCTACCCTTTTTACAGTGGGTTGAACCGTGAACGATTGATATTTCTTTGGCGTCAGTATTTTATTTCCATATTAGCAAAGTAAGCATGGAAATGAGTCAATGTTTGGCTTAAAGGTTTTACTATATCACTTTGTCTTTTTGAACGATAAATTATTTTCCTTTGCTGCTTTGCTATCTTGAAGTAGGTTTGTAGCAAATGACTTGTGACATTAATTTTTACACTTTCATATATTGCTTGACACTAACTATTTGATGAGGTGAGTTGGCAAGAGTCTATGGATATAAATCAGATCCAATCGCCATAATTAAGAGTTCTACTCAAAAGGTTAGTACTTTCTTCATATCAGACATTCCGATTTTTTTGCTACTAACAGTATGATTTTTGTTCATTGGTCCTAAGGAGCCTAATTGGTTCACTTAGCAGTTCATGCCATAAATTTATACCTGAAGAAAAATATTACGAGAAAGGACCATGATTTATTATTTTCATCTCTATTGATGGCTAAGTATGGGAGTTTTCAAGAAATATATAATCACCGGCACTGGCATATTTCCTAAGTTTTGTTATGACTTAATTTTATGGTTCACTTGAACTCTAACAGAGTACGACCACCAGAAATGGCAATACTTTGTATATCTCATTGTTACTAAATTTGTTGAACACCAAAATTGGTATATACCTATCATGACCACTATAAGTGGTAATTTAGGTTTGCTATGGTTACAATTGAAGATAAGTTAGAGAAAAATTCTCCATGTTACATACATGTCTCAATTTGCTCCTGAAGTAGCAAATATCTTAAAAGAGGTTCGAAGCATCACAATATGATATGGCTAATACACGTTCAGATAATTATGTTCCATTCTTTGAAGGATGAGAACTTTTTATAAATATTAATCCATTCCCTCAAGTGAATGGGACAATAATAATAAAGCTTGTAAATATGAACGCGCTCTTGATGTAAATATATTACAATTTATCTCCAGAAGAGTTAATATGATGGAGAGAATATATACTCAATATTTTGTATTTTAAATTTGCTCTTGAAGTAGTAAGCATTTAAAATTTCCTTCTGAAGCAGGAAAACATTATGTAGTGGTAGAAATATTAAATTTTTTAATTTTCGTCATTTAATAAATTTAGAATTATTTTTATATTGTTAATTTGATTATGAATTTCTCTCATGACACCAGAAGTGTCTGAGCACTATTTGGTAGTACAAAATTTATCAAAAGCTCTTGAAGAGCTAACTGTTTGTCTAGAAGACACATGATACAAGTAGTGTCTGAATAATATTTGATTCTGGAAATAAATTGAAGGCTCCCGAAGAGCTTATATGCAAATTTGTCATTCATATTATATGATTGTGGTCAAAACATATGTTTTAGTAAAACTTGAAGTTTACTAATACAAATGGCTATCATACAGTAAACTAGAAATTTGCTAATACAAAAGTAGCCACAGTAAATCAGAAGTTTACTAATGCAAAAATTTATGTCATAATAAACCAGAAGTTTACTAAGAGATAGCACATGCCATGATAAACTTGAAGTTTTCATTTGCCATTTTTAAATGAGCTATTTGAGAATTCAGATAAGCATATACTGAAGAACTAGAAGATTCTTCAAGAATTCTCTTGTGTTGCTTGTTCTCATAATAAATTGATTATACCAGCTAAAGTTGGGACTAAGACCCCCGAATCCTGGAATATATAAAAGGTGAATACGGGCCCATTCACCTATCATGTGAACCACTTATAGATGCATATATAAGATGGTTACATGTATGTTTATTGTCAACCTGCAGTTTGGCATTTGAAATTGCTTTTCTCGCTTAAGAGCATAATTTCCAAAATATGTAATCAAGACAGTTCATCTTGATAATGCTGGTTTATATCCAAGTTGGTTTAGCATTGAATACCTCCTATTAATGGCTAAACTATTGCTTATGAGAACAAAGCCTCATGTGTTGGTCTCATATTTCAACTGCAAGTGCTCCTATTAAAATTAAAGTCCCTGAAGGATTGAGTTTACTGTACGCATGAAGGTAGTAGACCGATCGGTTCCAAAGGTAACAATCCTTGAAAAGGATAGGAGCAAATGATCAAAATGATCATAATAAGGAGGAAATAAACTCTGGAAGAGCACACGACATAACATTTCATGAAAGTCCAGAAGAAGTTCAGGTGCCAAAAAATAAAAAAAGTGATGAGATCTCAACAAGTTGTTTCGCTTGCGAACCAATACGAAATGATCGTCGATGATATATTTGATACAATATAGTGCACACTATTGTAAAAGACTGTGAGGATCGGACCTGCAGTCTAGACACCTGAAGATGTCATGCCATTTAAATGCAAGTCACAACCTATATGACTCATTTGATTAAATCTGTATGAAGATCCCTAAAGGATTTAAAATGCTTGAAGCATATAGTTCAAAGTCTCGATAAATATGCTCGATCAGATTACAAAGGTCTTTGTACGATTTAAAGTAATCTGGGCGCATGTGGTATAATCGCCTCAATAAATATTTGCTGAAAGAAGGTTACATAAATGATGTTATTTGTCTATGTATTTTTGTAAAGAAAATTGTATCAGAATTTGTTATACTTGTTGTTTATGCTGATGACATAAATCTTGTTGGAACTCCGGCAGAGCTCCAAAAGGTAATTGAATATCTTAAGAAAGAATTTGAGATGAAAGATCTTAGAAAGACAAAACTTTGTCTTGGTCATTGAACATTTAGTAGAAGGGATCTTTATCCATCAATATGCCTATACAGAGAGGGTCTTAAAACACTTTTACATGGACAAAGCGCACCCATTGAGTATACCAATGATTGTTCGATGACTTGAAGTGAATAAGGACCCGTTCCGACCTCCAGAAGAGGATGAGGAACTCCTTGGTCCTGAAACACCGTATCTCAGTGCAATTGGTGTGCTTATGTATCTTGCTAATGCTACAAGACCTGGCATAGCTTTTTCTGTTAATTTTCTAGCAAGATATGGCTCTTCTCCTACACGGAGATAATGGAATGGGTTTAAGCATATTTTGCGATATTTAAAGGGAACTCTTGATATGTGTTTGTTTATGCTAACAAAGGTAGTGCAGATCTTGTTGGTTATGCAGATGTAGGTTATTTATCTAATCCCCATAAAGCTCGATCCCAAACCGGATACGTGTTTACATGTGGATGTACTATCATATCATGGCGCTCCACAAAGCAATCTATTATTGCTACTTCTTCAAATCATGCTGAGATAATAGCTATTTATGAAGCAAGTAAAGAATGCGTATGGTTGAGATCAATGATTCATTTTATTTGAGAAAATGTGGTTTGGAATGTGATAAAAGATCCACAATTTTATACGAAGACAATGCTGCATGCATAGCCCAATTGAAGGGAGGATTTACAAAAGGAGATAGAACGAAGCACATTTCACCAAAATTATTCTACACACATGATCTTCAGAAAAATGGTGACATTGATGTGCAACAAATCCGTTCAACTGACAATCCGGCAGATTTGTTCACTAAATCTT